GAGTTGAAACATTTATCAAAAGATTAATTGGCCTTCTCAACTCCGTCTAATTATTTCTGATAAGTTTTTATTGAATATTCAAAAACCTCAATCGTCGTTGTGTACTAGAATTCGAGAATATAGCTAGTTTTCGAATCTAGATAAGAATTAATAGAAAGATTAATAGAGAAATCAAATTATTTATTTTAACAAGAATAAAAGGAATAGTATTATTTTCCAATAAACGAATTCTTTTTAGATCGCTTGTTTTTGTATCATTATTTTAATCTTGAATAAATGTTTTGTTAATTAAAATCAAATGAATTGATCCAAAAAGTATTTTTAAAGTAAATTGAATAATATATGCTAAACAAGGTATATGCTGAATACGTTTATTCAGAAATCGATCTCTATTAAATACCTTCTCGAAGTATAATTGATTTCTTCTATTATCTTGAAATTATTAGATGTATTATTAGTAGTAATCGAAATAATCTAATCAGTAATATCGAATTTATCAATAATATTTTTTATAATTTAGTTAAAGCTTATCCTGAATAAATATTTATTAAGTTTTCGAATCTAATGAGCTTTTCAATTAATTCCTAATCTTTGGAAATATAATAAACCAAAATTCCAAGAAAAGATAATCTGTTTATATTAAACCAAGCATCTAAGAATAAAGCAATCTTATTTCCTTTCATTATTTTCAAAAGCAATATATTCTTTTCAAGATTTTCGACTTGGATTATCAATCGTTTTCAAAATATATATACAGAGGGAAAAGGGAATCCAGGATTTTGCATTTAAGCAAGCTATTGCTATTCTTTATCTTCAATAGCTCGAAAAGATATTTGTAAAAAAATAATTGTTTATAGAAGTTAATCATAAAATGCTTCTTCTATAAGTTGTTTTAGTAAACCCATTTGAAAAAGAATTAGCTTTCTATTAATATTTCTATTAATCGTTTACTATCTACTCTTATAACAAGATATTCATTTAATCCTCTTTGATGTCCATTTCGAAAAACTGCTTTTCGATATGTATTACTTTGAAGATGTTTAGATAATGTATTGGTATCAGTATTCTTAATCTCAGGGTGATTCAGTTCTTTATTATATTGACAACATATTAAAACTGGCTCTTCGGTTCCCTTATTCGTAACCTGATTGTATTTAATCCAATATGTTGATTTATGAGTAGTTGAATCCTAATGAATCTTTTTTATTAAATTAGTTAAATCATTGATCTGGTTATTAAACCATTAAGTAGTTTTCCATTATTTAATAAAATTCTGATAAACTTCTTATGTTTATTTAAAAAACCTTTCATCTTTTCCATATAATTCAAAAGATAATTTATAAAAAGGCAAAGAACGAAAAGGATTGAATAGTTTAGAATTAGGAGCATTTAAAAGATAACTGGAAGATATAACAAAGTTATCCAAATAGATTTCAATATCTAATAGATTTTGAAAGATAAAATCTATTCTTACAAAAAACAAGAGTGTTAAGTAGAAAATTAGTAGAAAACTTAGTAGAAAATATATAATAGAACTTCAATTTGATTATTCTATATTAAAATATCAGTTTTAATTATAGAAACTCTCAATAAGCTTTTGATTAGCTTGAGTATTAAATAACACTTGCAAATTTGCATTCACAGATAAAACCAATTGCCAAAGATCCCACAATTCCTGATCGATTTTCTTACCATAAACCAATCTCCTTGTATCAATATATTGTTTTCGATTATTTTTTGGAATGAAAAATCCTATATTATCGATCTCTTTAATAAACTCTGACCATCAAAATACAGAACTAGGAAGATCAATTTAATTATTTATTTTAGAATTATTCATAAAATAAGCTATATATATTCTCCAGAATGCTTTCTTGGGACTTATAAAGAAAGTTGCAGGTGATTTCTATATTAAAGTTTTTCTAGTAAGGATTAGTGGATTAATCGAAAGATTAGTAGAAAGATTAGTGGAAATAGTATATCATACTCTACAGTTTTCTTATATTCCTTTCTCAAATCATAAAGTTTATTAAATAAGCTAAATTAATTAGATTTTGAAACAGGGTTCAAGAATGAGAATATAAACTTACAACTGAAATTTGTATATATTCTTTGCCAACTTGCTTTGTTTCTTCTGCAATTGATGATAAAGAAAAGAGTGTCTAACCAAATTAATCAATTTATATAAAGATCAATATAAGGAAAAATTCTTACCTTAATCCTTTTTGAATTTCTTATCAACTAAAGGTAAAAAAGGCCTTTACAATATTCTTCGATTTCCTGGATTTTTTGAACAATATCTTTTTAGCACTTCTCCAAGTTTTTTGTTAGCATCGAAGTAGCAAATACTTGTATCTCTAATAAAGATCAGTTTCTATTAATCTTTCCATTAATTATATAATATTACTTACCTTTGGAGGATTATAGATATTGTAAGTCAAAAGTGCTTCTCTTTCTTCAAACTCCTTATCATCCTTTCTTTTCCGATTATATTCTTAATTGAAAGCTTCATTATCTTTCTATAAACTCTTATATATCTCATTATACTCTTTTTTATATTCAATATTCTCTTATACACTATTATTGTTATTTATAATAGCAAATTGCTCATTATAATCTTCCTAGTCTAGAGATGTAGCAACACTTTTCCAATTGTTACCTTTTATTACTTTATTAATCGGATTAGTAGAAAAATTAGTTGAATAAAGATATATACATATTGTTTGTGCTGAGTTTCTGTATCGCAATCAATCAATATCTAGTGTTGAGTATTATTGGAAGTGTTGATATATTTTTGTGTTGTCTTCAATTTCTTTTTTGTATAGGTGACAGCACTTTGATCTCTTGCTTTGGCCTTTTCAATTTTTCTACGAATAGGGTTATTTTCTAAAGTTTCATTCCTCTTACACACTTTGATTGTATTAGGATTTTGCGATAAGTCCTTTGATACTTTTCGCTTTCCAGATATTATAAAGATTTCGGATTAATAGAAAGATTAAAAAAATGAAAGATATTTGATTGCAAAAAAGGATTCTGTAATAAGAAATCGAAGAATGTTGTTTATTAGAATAATAGAAAAATTAAAGAAAGATGAGAATTGGAAAATAATAGTATAGTAGTGAATTTCGAAGTTTTTGTTTTTTTTGTTTCCAAGGCAACAACCTAAGTTCTAAGACATCCACACAAAAATATCATACAATACAAACGACCTCTTTTTCAATTTCATTTCTTTACTACTACAACAACAATACACTATTCAGAAGATGTTATTAAATATATTAATTGATTTCATTCTATTAATTTATCTACTAATTTCAATAGAATATCAAGCATTCAGAGTCGTCGATCGCTTCCAAATAAAGTAATAAAAAATATATAAAAGAAACCTGTTTCTAAGAAAATTCCTAAGAAAGCATATCGCTTCAAGCCAGACAGTAAGTTGATTAATAGAAATATTAGTAGAATAATATACTAAGCCCAATTTCTAGCAATTACATTACGTGAAATCAGAAGATATCAAAAAGACGCCGAGTTATTGATCCGAAAGCTTCCTTTTCAATGTTTTGTTCGAGAGATTATTCAGGATTTGATTCTAAAAGTTATTTGCTAGCAATCAATTGTATTATTGGCTTTATAAGAAGCTGCTGAAGCATGTTTAGTTAGAGAGTTTGAATGTAAGTTTAATCTAATCTCTTAATATCTATTAAGTTTTGTACTAATCATTTAATTTCAATAACAAATCTTGCAGTAATTTATGCAAAACGAATTACAATTCAACAAAAGGATATACTTCTGATTCGGGCTATGTGTAGTGATATTTTAGGATATTCATATGCTAATAATCATCATGCATATACAGATTAACTTGATTATCTCAGTGCTTCTACAAATTCATAAATGTATTTTCTTTTAGAAGAATTACTGAATACTATGAATATAATAAAACACTTTTCCAACTCTATAATAGAAATATAATCGAAATATAATGTAAAGAAGATAATTAGTAGAAATATTAGTAGAATTCTTTATATATATCATATTGATGCTTAATAGATCCTGGGCTTTGGGTTACCCATAGTATTTTGGATTACCCATTGGGTCTTGGGTTACCCATAGTATTTTGGGTTACCCATTGGGTTCTTGGCAACCCATTGGAGTCTTGGCAACCCATTGGGTAACCCATGGGTGGGACGTCTATTTATACTATTACCCACCCAACCCATGGGGTCCCGATGGGTGGGACGTGAGATCGAAAACCCGACCCATGGGGCCCCATTTTACAGCCTAACTATACTTAAGATTGAATAATGGACTTAGACTTAAAGCACATGATCCATTCAACTTAAGAATTGCCAGTATCGGGATATCAATCATATGATCTAAAAGAACACTGTATTGCACTAGCATATATACTAGCATATACACTAACGCTAGCACTTCTACTATTTTAAATACTAGCTTCCCATAGTTAATAATGATCAAAACGAATAATATAATCAATCATATTGATAAGAATAAAGTACTTTACACTTTAATCAACACCAAATTGATACCAACAGCGAGGGTCTCGATTCACGAAGCCTCTGACTCCTAGTCGGTATAAGCAGTCGTGTAATGTAAAAAAACGCATATCAGTTAAAACTTAAATCTCAATTTTTAATTTTATTAACATATCTTCAGCTAAATTTTGTGTTTTCAGAATAACCAATATATCATTCAGATAATTAGTATGTTAGACTTGAAGTATTCTAGATGTTAGAGTGCGTTCGGATCGATTTTTCATTTATTTAATGAAATCTCTAATAATGATAAAACAGAAAGAGCAGTTTCGTCTTTAGAGAATGGCTGTTTCTGAGATAACTTACATGTAATAGCACTCACACCAGCATCTTTACAATAGCGTTTTAGCGTAGATAAGTGATTCTCGGTATCTGAGTAGTGCCTCAAATATTAGTCCTCTACCTAAAAAATATAGATTCCATTGCAATAGGAGGTCTGTATCAGATTGCATAATGAAGATCCTTACCTTTCCATCCCGTTTCCCCATCTCCTGTTTTCTGAACCCAGCGTGCATCATTATCACAATCTAAATGAAAAACGTTAGAACCTCTAACAAACTTCTTCAAAAACCAAAGAATAAAACCTACAAAACCTAAGATCAGCATTGACCTGAACCTCCTCATGAGTCATTCCCTCTAAAGCCAAGAAATATTTTCTCAGTGCCAGTGCCGCCTGTCCATGTTGATCAAGCCCATTGTTAACATTCTGTGTATCTTGTCTGAAAAGAACATTGAATGCCCTAGTAAAATCTGGATCCCTTCTTGCATTCGTTAACCGATCTCCTGCCACTTTACCGACAGCTCTAAGTTCATCGAAAAGCACATCTCAGCGATGAGTACCGTCTCCAGATACGGGTGTATTTTTGGGTGCTTCGAGTGATTTTCCTGGAACACAATTTTTGTCTAGCCAGTAGGTGAGTGCTTGGGTGGCATATGGTAGAAGAAGAATGGCGGGAATGAAAATTGAGAAATGCATGTTGGGTCTTTCTGTTGAAAAAAACATCGAACAAATAATAGGAAGAGAACATGATATCTAAGTACAGAAATATAAAAGAAGTGGGAATGATTAAAATACTACCCGGAACTTCCAAAGTCTTTATAATATATCCTCATCAATACCAACTCTCAAATAGGAGATACCGCAGCATCGCTATATAAGAGTACTTCTCACCTGAGAGAACGAACGATCTCCTCAGAGATTTTCACGGTTTCAAATCAAATCAACAGATCTCTTCTCAATTCGCCCCCTAATCTAAAGTTTACATACAGAAATATACCTCTGAAGTCAGTTTCGTAGACATCGCCTTTGAAGTTTACAAAGCGCTCGTAACTCAATCTATTTCCACAACACCATCCGTTATCTAAACACTCAGCCATCTCCCAATTAATTGTCATCTCTCAATCTCATATATATCATACCATATATCATGCCATCTAACACTCGCAAAATGTTTGAAGATCTCGCCATTACACAGTAAGTAATGACAAAAAACTGACGAATCCCAATTTCAACATTCTAATTCGAACACTCTTATACTTTCCCCAATCTCGTGACGTGATACCGAGAATCCAAGCCCCATAGATGTCAGACTAAATCTTGGCCTTCCAGGTGAAGGCTGTTTCTTATCAGCCTTATGCTCCTACTGAAATGCTTGTTCATCATTAGAAGCTCCATTCGTTCTCGAAGCGCGGGAATGGACGCTTAAAGTTAAGCTTAGTAGTTTTTGGTCTTTGACTTTTTGAATCGACATGACAAATTTTTCGACATGGTTTGTCAGCGTCGTTCGTTTTTGTTCGTAAATCTTGAAATAGATTGGACATACGATGGAAAGCGTGGGTTATTGGATGACAATGTCAGATTGTTTGATGTCAGTAAAGTTCTGTGGAGAAAGAGATGTTGAATATTTCTCGGCGGACCAAGATCTTCTCTTCTGGATCTTGAATGCACTCATTGATGTAAACAGAAACATCTTCAGATGGAAAATATAAAGTCTCGTCCGACTCCACCTCTCCTCATCACTGCATCCACATTCCCACATCTTTCAACCACACTCCGACTCCTACAAGTGTACCATCAAAATGCATTTCACATATCCCCTCCTCTATTTCCTCTTCCTCAACATAACCACCGCCCACCAAATCTCCTATCCATTCCGAACCCAAAAGCGACAAAACGGACCCGACAATGCAGACTCACAAGTCAACATCCACCCCGAAGCCGCCAAAGCGCTCTCCGCATTCCTCAAACTCGACACTACCTCAGATAGTTGCGGAGTCGATCTTCTTCCTCTCGAACAGCCCGGAGAACCCGAGATCCCCATCGACATCAACAAACGAATAAATCCCATGAGCGGAAAACAACTCATTAGATAGATGTCTTCATGGAATCGGGAAAGCGGTTGTACCGGCCTTCTCAACCGGACACGTTCTCGAGCCTATGGTGAAATTCGTCAAGGATATACAAGTCAATCTAGATTTCATCACCTACAAAGATCCTGAGATCCAACGAGAAGCTAGTGATCTCTTAGTATATGGAGCTGATTCCCTTCATCAGATGATCCCATCTTTATCTTTCGACAACGCAGATAAGCTTCTCCAAGCTGTGTTTGCGGCTGAATATGCAAGGGTTGTTGATCAAGTTGAGAACCTAGCTCTCTTTTCTCTTGCGAATAGACTTTTGGAGAAACAATCTGATAAGGATACCTGTCCCAAGACTACTACTGGCGATGAACATGGAATGATTGGTAAGTGATCAATATCATATCCACTCGAGATGAGATTTTCGGAATTTAACAAGAGATAGATTGTCCTAATCCTCTGTGCGATGGGAAAGATGGCGTTTGCACACGACCCATTGCATTCCATGGTTGTCCCTGCAGTGAATTTGTCTGTCCCGCCGAAGACGACATTCCATATTGCGACAAATGCGGAGGAGATGATCTCAAAAGCAAATGCAGGGTAAACATTCCTCACTCATTTTGACTCACTCAATACTAACTTCCAATCCAGGGACTACCCGACAAAGGACAAAAATACAAAGGATGCGAATGCATGGTCACCGAAATATCCTCCCCCTGGACCTCAACCAACTATGCATTCTACGATCTGCAACGCTTCATCGGAAAGCCCGCCCCCCAAGAACCCGCCCTCAAATTTTTCTTCCTCTAAATCCAAATTCGCAAACTGGGAAGCCGCAATGTCAGCCATGGAAGATTTCTGTCGTGACACCAACCGTCTACAATCCGACGTCGCCAGCGCCGACGAATTGAAAAATGGAAAAGTAATCAACGCCCACTACAAACAACGGCGTCTAAGACGAAATGGACGTGCGATTCACATGGTACCAAAACGATCGCATTGACGAAACTAGCTGTCATAAATTCTTCACCTCCATCATCGACAGATGCGACATCAATCAAGACGACAAACACGGGGGATCCTACAGCTACCGAAAATCCGGAAATGCGAATAAAATCCTCATCGCGGAAATCCTCCCTCCGCAAAGCCAAACCCCGCTGCGCCGATCAAAACGGTCATTACTCCGCTCCACGCGCTGATGACCATCCCGGAGGCGCAACAGTCACCTCTGCCATCACGCAATGGTGCCGCGATAACCACGGTACACGAATCGACTGGTTCGTCTCGGACGAGATATCCCGGCGTTTTCCGATCGGCAATCTCCACGTCCCAGATCGGAGCTTCTTCTGGCTGCGCGCAGATATGAATGAGGAGTGTAATCCAATTCATGCTGTACATCCCATGAAAGAAGCAACATTTAATAAAAATCAATATATCCAAACTCTACACAATAAAAAAAATCAATATAATATAAAAAAAAACACGTACACATGGTCATACTACTGAAAGTAGCTGTATACACTATAGTATTATTCTCAACAGAATCATACATTCTGAAAAAACACCCTGAACCACAACCCCTCCTTCCCACTTTCCGGATTCGAGCCCAATCTTGCAGAGAAAGAAACCATTCCTTTCTATATTAACGGATAAGTCGGACAACCGCTCTCCTCTTTCAATATCGAAACCGCGATTAATGGATTCTATACAAATAAAACTGAAAAAAAAGGATATAGTAAATATAAGAAAAACATATATAATTTCTCCACAAAAAAATAATGATAGTTTGATAATAATGATTTATATAAAATACCTCTGACGATGGGGCTGAGACGATAGAGAATGGGGGGCTAGTATTATATAAGAATATAAATACAAAACAATATAAATAAATCATCTATCTATCTATCCCATTTTTACTCGATGTGGAAGAGTATATATTGACGATAAAATGAGGGATATGATTGGAAAATGAGCAGAGATGATTATCTCTACACACTAAAAAGAACCTATCAAGATTATACAAATATAGTAAAGATTCAAGAAGATACTTATACTTATCAATATATAAGATATAAGTCCTAGCATATTAATACTCGAGATTCTTAGGAGTCTCGAAATATAAGAATTGAGATTATTGCTTATTATACACCAAGCAATTTCGTAACAAAATCCCTATAAAAATAATATTTTATCATAGAAAATAGAATATCGAATAAACTCCTCAATTATCATATTATAGATCTGAGAACTCTATATAGTATCGATTGATATATTAGAATCTAAGAAAAATAAATAGAATATTTTTAATATTTTTCATCATTGAAATACAGAATCTTAAAATGAAATTTTTCATAAAATTATAATATGTAATACTTTTCTTATATAAAATAATAACTTTTTTCAAAATTTTTGAAAAGTTTAGTGTTAAAATCTTTTCATTTAATAACTTTTTTTTAAAAAAATAATTTCAATAACGTAACTTATGGTGAACCGGGTCATATGGGGAACCGGGTCATATTTAGCTTATCACTGACTTCAAACCCTAATAAATTTTGCTATGTATATCGAATCACCTTTAAGTCTTTTTAAATTAAAAAGAAAATACAGAATATTATTATTGTATTTTAATTGAAAGAATTTAAATCAATTAGAAAGGCTGCAGAGCATTTTGAAGTCCCTAAGTCAACTCTTATAGTTAGAATCACTGAAAGAAAATCATATATTCAATTCTACAAAATGACTCAATTCTTTCAAACATAGAAGAAAATATTTTTATACAATAGATTTCACGACTTACTATTATTGGATTCCCTATTACACCTATATTAATAAGAAAATAGCCAACGAAATTCGTTTTTAATGTATTCAGATCATATCATTTCGAATTCCTATCTCAACAGAAATTCCACTATAGGTTATAATGGATTTATAGATTTCAAAAACGATATTCAAAACTTAAAATATACTATTTATGTCAATTAGAGTCTGTTGGGATAGGGATCATGTGACTGACCGCGCTAGCGCATGCGCTAGCGCCCCCGCACTATAGCATATACGTTCGTAGCCTTTAGCTTTTAGAACCTCGAGCAATATTATAACAGTATGAATCATTAGTACTATATTACTTCACCATCCCTATAATGATATCAATACTGATCAGTGATATCACAGATCAGAAGCCTGACACCTTAATTTCAAATGCAACGTAAGTTTGTGACTAAAGTTGATATTTCTTTGAAAAAGCATAAGCTTTTGTATCAAAGCAATATGGTTTGATATCTGCCCTTGTATGAATAAGGATTGTCGGCAATATGGCAGTAGTTCTTGTATTTAGTATTAATTCAATATGGTTTAATACTAACAAATCGAATTTAGTCGGTAATATGACAATAATCTTTATAATCAATTTTAGTCTATATTTTATTCTTAAGGCAATATATATTGAAGAATACGAACCAATAGCTACCAGCTCAAGCTAAGTATTATCTTCTAACAAATAAATACAACTTTGCCGGATTTTGGCAAAGTTATATTTAAGTACCTCATCTTATTACCTACCTGCTATCTGTTAATATGGCAGAATCTTATAAAAACGACTTTGCGGAGTATAAGTCTAAATGTAACAACGATATTGGAAGTATAGTCGAATCGATTATACCATTAGTTATTGCAACTAATGATTTTAATATAATGGTTGAGCAATGGCAGGATAATCCTATTGATCTTATAAAGGAAGTAGGTATAAAAAAGATCAGGGATTTTTGCAAGTACAAATTTTACAAATATCAATAATCGAAGTATTATGATAGTGAATTATAATTGGACTACTTTTATGAATTTGAATATTTCAATTCGAAACATTTTCAAGTAGTTAGTATGTGTCTTTTATACAAGTTGAGATACGAACTATATTTGTGTAGTGTATTTATTATGAAATACGAGATCTGTACAACACAATCTGTTTATAATACTTTAGTTAATATAATCCGATTATTATATAGAGAATAATCAGATAAGAGATTGTGGATATATTTGCAAATAAGGGATTTACATTTCAATCGAAAAGTATATAGAAAAGGATAAATAAAAAGATATTCAAGTTTCTATATATGTATTATTAAAAGAACCCGAGGTATTTCAAGTAAGTAATTAGTTCAGATCATTAGGTTTCAATTAATACAGGCTATCGCAGTTACCAAATGTTCTATTTCAGATCGCAACAATTTCAGGATTCAGTTTTTTAGATGGTAAAGGAAAGGGTGTTAATATTAGATAAAAAGCGTTATCAAAACCACAAGCACTCTATTACTATAAATCCGTTCCCTAATCTAATATCGGCTTTCTATAAGAAAATAGTAAACCTAATTTATCTATATATTTATTTTACAATCAAAAGAAACTATTACCTTTGCGGCCAGTTTAGTATAAACAGTTTCAACCCGAAATATCTTTTCGACGATCTGACCCTCTATTACTACAATTGCCTTTACTATTACAAGAGAGAGGTAATCAACCATTTGGTAATCTATCTGATAATGATAGTAATTCGAATAAGAAGGAGGAGGAGGAGGTAATAAAGGTAGAGGAAACGATTTTCTACAAGGTGGTTATGGTGGGAATGGTAGTAGTGGAGGCAAAGGCGGTATGGGAGAAGGAGGAGGAGGTGATTCAGGATATGATTACAGTATTCCAGAGATCTTCCCAAATCCATTATCAAAAGTTATAAATATTAGTCAACTTCTTGGAAATCTTGTGAAACTTTATGATAAGGATAACAATATAGTGGATAAGATAACAATTTCATATACAAATTCAATATATTCCTCAACAATTGCTAATATATTAATCTACCTGATAATCTATTCCAAGAGCATTCCCTGCTATGCTTGTTGATATAGTATTTGATTTCTATTATACAAATTTAGAGACTATGCTGGTATTGATATAGGAGATTCGTAAATTGTTTGTGGATACATTTGAAGGCCCCGAATACAAAAGGAATATCATACAGCAATGGGAAGCTGTTACACTAAAGAGTATAATAATACAACCAGAGAATAATGGGAAATCAATTACTCATTGTTTATAACAGATGATGATAAGATTATATCATTTATATAAAGGATTCAGTAATATAATTAGGATAGAGGATTTATTTTATCAAAAGATTGTTAACACATATATACCAATATCAGCATGCTCTCTAGCTTGTTTTCGCCCAGCTGATAATATACCAAATCTCCTTGAAGAACTTCGTTCAGCTATTATAACGTAGGAGCTAGCTCATCCGAACAAAAACATAATATTCTATACCAACCAGAAATATCAATACAAAGAAGGATATAATCAGAATAAAGAATTTGAATAAAATGATTGATAATCATTTAAATT